GCAACTTCGGCAGATGGCATACGCAACAGCATGCAAAACGTATTTGATATTAATCGCCCCGATTGCCAGTCCGGCCGATGGCGATTCTGCCCCGATGCCATCGCCTGGTGTGTCCGCGACCGCCACGCGATAACACTCCGCACCGATTTTACAAATGACTCAGCCTCAGGAGTTGTTCAATGATGACTGATGCCATCACAGCCGGACTAGCCATCGCCCGATTTGAATCGCTGGTGTGCTCCAGATCTGCGCCGGATGCCACTCGGCGCCGATTGGGCAAATCGCCGATGACAAATCGCCATGGACCCCATGTGTCCACGACTGCCGATGCCACTCGGCGATTCGGCCGTCGGGGCGATGGCCTCGCCGACGTGCCCCTTAGTCGTGATGTGTCCGGCCCCTTAGCAAGCGCGTATACTTTTGCTAGATGTACTCACCTAATCATACCGTGCTTGCCCCACGCTCTTGCTCCTTTCTTCTCCCTCTACCAACTATTCTTACCAAATACTTCTCTCCAGCACTCCGCTACCATATACCAGAGAGTTGCGCGCATGACGAGCTCGAACAAAACTATCAGATCACGCTGGTCGCTGGCGACATGGTTGTTTTCCACGAATAGTAGGACACGGCATTAGGCGGGGTAAGACACGTGACAATTAACTCATCATATCGTTACCGTCCGCGAACGATTCATGAGTTCATTTCTAGAACATGTCTAGATACACATGTCTTAGCTATATCTCTGCTAATTTTGAGGGGAGGCTGTTTTTTGAGGCCACGATAGTCACATTAATTACTCGGACCACTTGCTACAGCGTATCCATACAGCGCACCCTGTACTTAAACGGCAAGCGGTGTTGATACATTTGGAAACCAACATGGAGTCAAATCCTGACGTTGCGGCCAAATCTCTCTGCTATATAGGGAACCCTAATTTTTAGCGTGTGAACGCTTAAATACGGAACTCAAAATTACCGTGTGAACGGTTTGTAGCGACAATGGGCACCCGAGCTGGTATGAGGAGCCGACAGCAAAACTTTTCCGGCCAATCGAGGAAAAGATGGCAATCAGGAATGACACAGAGTATTTACCGGAACGCAAAAAAGAAACGTGCTGTTTCGAACGATCAAATTATCGGATCGCAGTTTTGCGAGTCATGTTTATTCGGGAAACATTACGTTACGTCACTTTTCTTCGCACCCAATAGATTTTCAATCGCCAGGCATTATAATTTGTTCGGCCATTTGGCGACGATGCGCGAGTGAGCCGCCCGGCAGAGATAGACGAGGGCCCTGCAACTTAGTCAAGTATTTCAGCTAGCAAGAGGTTAAAGAATGTCATAGTAGTCTGTGAAGCATGATGGACTCATCATACATGTCTATATTGACATTTAATTAGGTAAAACTGTGGTACTCCGGTTGTGTCACTGGTTAGTAGGCCGCACTGTACTCACCGCTGTACTTGCGCTGCAGTCAATTTCTAACAGACTTGAGCATCTGTTATTAAAAGGATACTCTCCACGTTGTGCCACGGCGTCATGCTCTAGTGGAAGATTAAACATTTACTTTGCGCGAATGATCCCGAATCAACACTTCGTTTCTATCTTATAGCAGGAGATATATCTCTATGCTCAAGCCAGAAACATTTCATTAAAAATTGTCCCAGCACCTAATTATGTTACCACACAAATTTTGCAATTTTATTGTAAAAACTTGGGTATTTTGGATATTTCTCAAACTACCACAGAAAGAGGTGCAGGGATAAGATTTTTTGTCAATGTGTAAGCACAATATGGACCAAATAGCGGTCAGGATTATTTCCTTTTAATTTTATTTTACCGAGAAAACTCAGAAAAAACCTGCTTAAAAATCACATTGTGTGTTAAAACATAGAAAATTTTTATGCGAATAACTAATAAAGACCCGGCCATAACTAATAAAGTACGGCACTTATAAACAATCCGATCGCGCTTTTACAACAATCATGTTATCATTAAAACCGGAGTGTAAAATTAAATTAATCCCGAATTGTAATCACCAGCTGACCAATATCCATTTCCCTATACGGCTACGTATCGCGTCAGGAAAATCGAATCACCGGAGAAATGAGGGTTTTTTTCTATTTTTCACCAATGACGGTGCGCTCGTGTGCAAATGGAGTGAGTATGTGATATCAAATATCTATTCGTTAGTACTCTACGCGATCATATCCTGAGTAACTGCACCACTAAATTGGTCAAAATGTTCCCAATGCACCTTTGGAAATTCTAAGAAAATTACAGACGCGTTACCTCGCCAGGAACGCGCGAACTCCCGCATCATCCTGACTTCACAGCCCTAAATATTAACAACAGACCGACGGCGTAGTTGTACGGCCGCACTACAGTATAAGGATGCTGTTGCGACCGGGTGTTGAACTAATTTTGCGGCTCGCTGGGATTACTACCAATTGGTTCGCGTATCACTAGAGAGTACATTGATGTACATGACCATCCATGTAATGAACAGTGTGCTAGGCGTGACGCTCGCATGAATGATACTGCTTATTATTACTCACCGAATCGGAATAGTTCGTGGGTTGGTTATCATGTCCTTGAGTCATAAATGGACGTGCAGCGCCGTGCTTACTACCATGCTCACGTGCGGCCAAGAAAAAACGCTCTGACGGTTCACATGTACCGTTATATAGAGACATGAGCATGTACACAGGTGGCACATAGTGTTAGCCATCGAATAAAGTTGAAAACGAAAAATCGATAAAATTTCATGCACAACGTGGAGATTATCCTTAGGAAGAAAGTACCGTATTATCTATTAATTCTCTAACATGAATGAAATTTGTAGTAAAAAGCTGTAATAGATAAAGTCATCTACCACATATATGTTGATCCAGTTGGACTAGATACCCATGCACAGAATTGTCGGCGTCAGGACATTTCTGCCAATCGACTGCGGACGTTGCATGGTACCAGCGAAAAAAATACACGGGAGCGGCGAGCAATTTCGCTCCCGTCAGCTTTCAAAGCGCTCTGGTAACAACAATTACGAGAGCAAAAATTTTGGAAGATACGAGAACAAATCGCTCCCGTGCCGCCGGCAGCGTTCGAAATTAGTTCCGACCCGGAAGCCCGAGCCCACCAAGTTTTTGCTCGGGCCACCATCTGTACGAAACTCCCGGTCCTCCTGACCGGCACTTTTTCCCCTCATATTACGCTGAAATACTACGGTTAGCGCAACGGCAGTTTAAACAGACTTGTAAACGGGGCAGCGTAATATCGCTCAGTTTTCTTCACACATACACAACTGACCGCCGCGACTGTGCCGTACTCAGCGGGGAGGGGGGAGGGAGTTACAAATAAGCCGTTCACGCCGTCCCGCAGCGCAAAAACTCCGTGAGGCAGTGTTTGTTGGAGATACCATTTCGACCATGCCCGGCCACGTGCGCGCGGGGGGAGGAAGGGGGGCTGGAATCTCGCGCTCCGCCGTCTTCGTAAACTCATGTGCATATATATGAGCAACAATTTGCTAATGTGATACATATATGTGACATGAGGGGTCAATATTGCAACCCAGGGAAGAACATTGTATTACAGTTTTTTTAGGTGTATATATACCCTACTTCTATAACAAATGTGTTTCAAATCACTGAGCTTCAGGGTTGAAGAGATATTCAGCTTCAATTTAATTGAACCGGAAATTCACGTATGTCATAATTGACAGAAAAATTAGATGAAAAACTGCAATAATTACCACAAAATAAAGGTGTTTTATTCAAACAAGTGATTTATGTGACCAGAGACATAGTTTCCAGTAAGTAATGTGTCTAAAATTCATAAACATTAATCATGTTAACTAAAAAATAACAAAAACAACAAAACAAGTTCTTATAAATTATTGCTCAAACATGACATTCACAACTGCCCTTATTTTCAAACCTGGGTAATGAAGCCTTAACTCTAATAAGATATTTTGCCAGTAGCATTTTTCTTTATGGCCTCTGGAGAACGTTTACAGCTAATGTTCACGTATGCCATCATTGAAACTTTATTATTCACGTATGTCATAATTTGATGGAAAATTTACTTTTCTTTTAGATTTTGTCATTATTGGATGTTTAAGAACAGAATTGCTGTATGGAATGGAGTGGGAATATGTTTTTTGCATGACACCGGGCACGTAACCCGCTGATCCTGATCCTGGCAACACTCCCTTTAAAACAATAACACTCAACATAATACCAAACATGGATAGTGTCTTCTCTAACATTCTAACTTGAACAATGAACAGATAAACAGTGCTTGAACCATTGAGCACCTGAACTAGTACTGAAGTAACCATATTACTGTACATGTTTGTTCTTAGCTCAGCATGGTAATTCAAAAGGTTGCCAGCTTTGTATGTAGGTTCGAATCCTACCGGAGGTATCAATTCAGTTGGACAAGTAGGGCAAAGAACCTCTTGGCCATCACAAAGCTGGTGACCCACCCTTGAATTGAACATGTTGAAAATAATGGTGAACACAGGAATTTGCAAAGATTTTGAGATTACACTGTACAATACATGAAAACCAGAAAAATCTCATATTGATCCTCTGTACCATACTTGAACATTGTCAGTTCATTACGCACCTAATGATGTGCTATCTTCAGAATGCCATGTTTCCTCTTAATATTTTTCATGACATCCTCACCTACTGACAAGACATGATGACCAGAGAACTGTAAGGTTCCATAAAAACCTTAGACTTGTATGTAAGTCGCACAGGGGAAGGAGGCGGGTACCCCATCAGCCCAAATCTGTTTAAAATTAATCAGACTTACAGTGTCGTCATCTAGGTGTTTCCTTGGGTCTTCAGTGCTCTGCGGACTACCACTAAGTAGTTGTTCAAGGCCTTCGACACCTGTAAAATAATTTGAAAACTTTTCATGGCTGTCAATTCCAAAGAAAATGCAGTCCTTGTAAATAATACAGTGTATCATACCTAACATTTCTGCATCCAATTCCTCCAGTAAACTTATGTTAAAGCTTATGTTCAGACTGTTGTCAGCTCCAGGATCTTCCTCATCAATATGAGATTCAGAGCGTTCAATCCCTGAAATACACAAAACAAAAATTATAGTTGATCAGACAAGCAGAGTCATTCAAAAACCTCTAATGACTTTAGACCATAAAAAATACAATATTTACCTTGTAGGCTATCCCAAAGTGCTTGTAATGGTATATCATGCGCATCATGTTGCTTATCAGCCTGATCATGTTGATCGGTATCGCTATCCTGTCCAAGCTCCTCGTCAACCATGCGAGTGGGATTTCGTTGAGCTGGAGGTACCTTCATGTTCAGCGTGCGAGGTTGCCATGGCAAAGTGTAGGGGACATTCTCGCATGGACCATCTCCTTCACAGCCGGGACAGAAGCAGCTCAAGAGCCGAGCAGCTATGACTCCAGGTTTGACGCCCTTCACTGCCTGTAATAGCCTTGTGCCCGCCACCGCGACGTTTACTTCACGGTCCTTTCTGTCTCTATTGACAGAACCAACTTCTACAAAGATATACTTCTGCCTTTGGGTGTGACAATCGGTCTTGGTCAGGTTTTCTTTGCAGAACTGAAATGCACTCCAGGCGTCATCAATATTTGCCTGGCGCGACAAAACAGCCCTTCTCAAAGCTGCCTTCACCACACCCGAGACACCATCTGACGGTCCCTTCCCATGACGACTGCCAAAGTAATGCCTCTCTTGCCTGACTCCTAGATCATCCTCACAAAAAGAAATGTCGGCAAATGGGAGTTTACTCTTATACTGGCAGCTACATCCGTCAGTAAATTAAATGAGCCTCTGCATTTGAACTTTCTGGTTCTCTCGCAAGTGGGTTACCGCTAGTTCGGTGAAGTGGTGTACAGCATTTCCGTCATGTACCAGGTCGTTGCTTATTATCACGATAGCTTCTTGTACTGCATGGTCTCCATGATCAGGACAGATGTACGTAGCGACTATTGGATGGATGGTCACTTGATCTTTAGCCCAATGAGCTGACTGCACCTCATCCTGCGATTGACAGCTGTAGTTCTCCGCAAAATCGAGGACAGCAATCACCGTGTTCTCAGGTGGGTCCTTCGTTACTTTCCGGTACATGTCATGCTGCCATGATGCCACGAACATATGACTAGCCAGAGACACGGTTTCATCTTTCAGCTCCCCTATAAAGCTCTCTACAGTTCCTGTCTTGGTCACAATGCACTTCTTGGATTTCTCTTTCCCATCATGCATGTACTTCTTGTTACACCACTTTCGCCATTTCACTGACTGACTCCCAGCATCTTCCAACAGGCCAGCAAATTTGTCATCAAGCAGCTTCACACCACAGTCATCACAGTTTCGACGGATACATGTCGGTTGGAAATACTTGTCATTCTCATTTTCCTTCGGGCACAGTGTTGCAGCAATGAGTTCATACTTGTCTGCAAGTTTGACTTCCTTGTGTCCATGGGTACATGCCAAATAATTCAGAGCTTGCAACTTTAGCATTATGTCTGTGCATATTTCACACAGACATTAGTTCAGCCTGGTCCGTCGAAGAAGAAGAACATCCGCTGACCTAAACCTCCGGAATACATCAAGGCTTAGCTTTGATGAAGGATGTCGAGCTTTCCAGATTGTATACGCCCTTGACACTGTCACCTCCATCTGATGGCGTGGCTTGAGATCTTTCTTCACAGATTTCCTCAAAGGCAGTTCTCGCGAAACCTCTGGACTATGATAGGTGTCAGGTCAGCAATGGCGGCTATTGTATCTGGAGTTGTTCCATCTTTTCTCACTCTACGTAGTGAACGTCGCGACTTGATTGCCTCTGGCTCGTAGCTTTGTAGCTGTGATAGGTAATTGGGTCGAGTTCCAAACAGCTTTGCGAGACGGTTTTGCTGGCGTTTGTATTTCTCACCAAGTATGGCAGTGAAGATTGTTCTCCGCTTAGCTTTACTCTTATCATCGGTTTTACCACGGAGGGTCTTCGCGTTTGCTTTCAAGCGCATGCACACATCAAGAGATAATTCTAGCTTTTCCTTGTTTTTACCAGTTAATCCTCTGCGATCGATTGCTGCCTTCTTTCTTGGTGAAATTCTACTCCCACTCTGTAGAGCATCTACTACTTCTGCATATTTATTGGCATCAGTTGGCATTATTTCCTTTACACGAGAAACAGCTTTCCTTTTCGTTGCAGGATTTTCATATCCAGGGATCGGGAATGGTGGTGGTGGGACGTCTTCATCATTGTCGTCAGCAGTTGGCTGAGCCGTCTCCGGAGCAGTCTTCTGTTGGCACTTCCGTTCCCGGTCCTTTTTCTTTATCCAAGCCGCTTTTTGGGGTTTCCGATTCATTCGACATTCCTTTTGCTTTTGTTTCCAGTATTCCCTCTGCTTCATTATACCCGCACGGGTCTTTATTGACTTCTTCTTTTTTCCTTTGGGTTGTGGTTCAGCAAGTTCTTTCTTCTTTCTGAAATATTTCGCTGTCCTTACTGTACCGCGTTCTCGATCCCTCTGTATTTGCTCTTCAGTTCGATTCATTCTTCTTCATCGCTGCCTCTCTGCTTCAGATGCTTTGAGCACAGCCCATGCTACTGGATCCTTTTTCAAACATTCTCTCTTCTTTCGCATAGACAAGGAGGAGGGCTTGACTCTTGAACTGCTCCCTGCGAGTGGAGATGATGGACCAGATGATATGGTTGAGGTGACATCGTTGTCCTGGATTTCATGTGTAGACCGACGCGACTGCGATCGCCGTTTAATCCCTAGGGGCACAGATGCCATCTATAAATGTGGAATAAAAAAAAATGTTTGTGACAAAAGCCTATCATGAATGACATGTTATTATTAATTATTTAAAGTTAGTACATTAAAGTGATTACGTCACAGTAAATAGTAAAAAAATATAAAAAATATTTTCACTTTTTCACAAAATATAAGTAATTCTGTTCACTTTTTATGGTTAAATTGCTGCATTATACTTCCTATTTTACTATATTGTTCGATGTGAACATGCACTCGTGACGCATGATACATAGCCCATAGCAAGCAATTAATGTTATTAACACTAAGGCCCCATAAAAAAAAAGTTAGTTTATCATCCTTGTCATCTAAAGAAAGTGATGAGGGAGGTGGGTTTTTTTTTCTTTTTTCTTTTTCCGAACACAAACACAAACATGGAATTAACAATAGAATAGTAAAGAAAGAGTACAAGTGGGCCCCGTGGGCACAAAAACAATCAAGACAAGTAGGCTAGACCACAGCACAGTATGATGGACTAGGCCTAGAGAAACTTCATGGGAATAATTTTAGTCTCAGGTAGTATTAATGTCGATGTCTCAAACTGTTGTGATTTAAATATCAAGGAACAACTTCATATTTCAAATGACTATACATGTATGAAAATTATGAAAAATTGTTGTCCCTCATTCTATCTCTGTGAAGAGTTTATAGTGTCCCCCCCGTCTCCCGAGCTGCAAACGCCTTGGTTCGTCTTTCATTAAATGTTTTACCAGCAGCCCTGCACCCTTCACACAACGGATAGTTCTTCTTGGCATCATAGTCACACAAATTATCATCTGTGCCACATTCAAAACACAGTGGTTCTTCTGGAAAGGAGGCATAATAGGGGATCTCCATGGGCGACATGCAGGTAAGTTTCTTGCTCATAAACACACGATTAAGAACTGAGTCATCTGGTAATTCATCAAGATCACTGAATGACGTTCCACATGAATAGATAAGTGTATCCATCTCTCGCTGAAGTTGGTCACGATCATCCCTTTTGAGAGCCTTCTTGCTATATAGACACCGCCAACGCTGACATTCGTCACACTGAAAATGGAAAAGATGAAATGAATTCATACAGAAAGTGTTAATAGGTAGTTTGATAAGCATTTAAGTATTTGGAAACACTTTTCAAACATTTGCAGGTATTTTATTGTTGAAGTTTACAAAAAATCATGAACAGACCTGGATGACACTTTTGGTGTTCTTTGCATATTGCGAACTGGGTGGAAATGGCATCCCATGATTCTTTTCACCTCGTCTGTGAATCTTGGATGGCAGGAACAATTCTTCATCTGTGTGTTTTTTACCATATATCTCCTGTAGAAATAGAATAGAAAGCAAAATCATGAATATATACTGGTCAAATGTGGAATTTTTTTAATGTCCTCCGTTTGTTAAACTGATGAAAGGAAGTGTACACTCAATCAAAGTACATTTTAAGGATACTGCCAGTAAAAGAATCTAGCAGGCTATAGAATTTCAATACACCTCTGTCATCCTTTGTCATACCTGGAAATTCATGTACTTGTCGGCTTCTGTTGGAGATGCAGTCGGATCTGGAAGGTGGTGAAGGTCATGGAAGATCTCCTCCGGCAGACTGGGCTTGCCACAAACACAATCTGCATCACCACAACGCTTTATGCTAAACATGTAATGTCTTTCAAGACAATGTTTCTTAATGAAATCCAGTATTAATCTTCCAGGCTTCACAGTTTTTTTAGAATCAGTCAACACAGATGCATCAAAGTCCGGGTCTATTCGGGTAAGGGTTTGAGCAAGAGCAGAGATATCATCCCGTGACGCTGCTTGAAAAGGCCGCAGTGGTTCATCCTTCAGCTTCAAACGTGAGAAAACATCACCTAGCAGATCTTTGACTGGCTGGACTGCATCCAGTACCTCCTGTCTGATTTGTGGCAAAATAGATTCTAGGTTACGTATGGCCCCAAGGTTCCCAGCATTTTTTAGTTTATCTTCACATGAAGCAGTTTTCTGGCGCATCAACCCCACCCCCTGGAGTCCAATGTTCAGAATAGACATACAACGCTCAGCTGGGTTCTTCCAACTGTGTTTAGGAGGAGTTTGAACACTGCTGAGCGCATCTAAATTTCTGTCTAAGAAGTAGGCAATGTTCGCCAGTTTGTTGCGCATGTGGCGAACGTTGTGATCGGGTCCTCCATCGTGATAATGACATTCAATTGGGTTGTCACGCGGTACAGTAGCACTATATTCAGCCAGATGCCTCAGACAGGATGATGCTTCAAATGCATTTTCCTTCAAGCCAACGTAGACTACACCTCTATAGAAACTTCCCATCATACTGTCTGGGATCTCAACTTTGAAGGAGACAGATGGGGAGAGAGAAAACTTCGTAAAGTCGTGATCTGCTACTTCAAATGTCTGATCTTTGGCAACTAAAACTTGTTTGCCCCGTTCAACCGCAGACACTGGTAGTCCTGGTTCGCCTACTTTAATAGTGTGTTTATCATCCTGACATATGAGGGAAGTGTAGTTATGGAATCGGACACAGAATTCTTTCTGGTATCTGAACATCGCTGATGCATAATACTGGTCAATGTGGTTCTCTCTCATCTGTCGCGCCATGATCATATACTTAACTCGAATGCGACCAGTGTACCTCTTAGAAGCAGCAGACCCTGGACGTCTTGGCCAGAATTGCCAGCGAAGCCATTGTAGGGAAGGGATAGCAATATCAGGGGGGCAGGTCTTGATCACTTGATCATAAAAATCGGTTGCATTCAAGGCAGTGGCCATGTGGGTAACCACCTCGCCTTCAATGACATCATCATGCCTACGATCGGAGACGGAAGTTTCAACACAGCTAGCAAGGTACTGCTGACAGCGTTCAAGGAAAGGAAGGTAAGTTTCAGGTCGACCATTGTTCACCCTCAGGTCCCATACAAGAGTCTCGTCTTCATCATCAATGAACTGTGCCAATCTCGCATCTATCTCAGCTTCGTGGGTGTTTGCCGCGCTGGAGACATCGCCAGTCAAGGTCTTGAACATGTTCCTGAGAAGAGCTGGGTTAACTGCACTGACTCGGCCAAAAGTGTCCAGAAATGTTCTTCTCATGGACCTCGTGAAATACTTCGGGAAATCTGCTTTCAGGGCATTACTCACTTCATCATTCTTTTGTAGAAGAAATGTCTCGCTGTCGTCGTCATTAAATTTCCACACAAAATGAAGGTGTTCCCTACAGCTAGTGTAAGAGAAGCGTACGGTCTTGAATGGAAACACCAAACCATTAATAAATTCGTACCTCCTCCTTGCATCAGTGGGTGCAAAATCATTGAGAAACAGAGGAGTATAGGCAGAAGCATTCAGCAGGCAATCATGGAGTGCTCCCGTACTGAGCTTTCAGGGTCTGGCCATATCTGCTTACGACTGTAGACTTCCCATTTCATACTACATCTGTGGCGTCTGACCTTCCTCTTGTGTTCATAGTATGGTGTTTATTTTGCCTGTCAAGATACTCGGATGCAGCACGAAGGTTATCTGCTAACCTTAACAAGTTCTCCTTCACAGGGACCCAAGGAGATGGCGATTTATCCGCAGGTAGGTACTTCCACACAACCTAAACAAACGCAGAAGACTTCTTAGAAGGAGAGGATGAAGGCAGATGTGTGCTTTCCCTCTTGCGATGCTTGTGTGTTTCGGGCTTGTTTAAATCCGTTGAATTTGGCAAACATGGCAGGGACGGGATGGCTCGTTCCTTAAGGAGTTTCGTGATGGCGCATATAAACCACAGAACGCCTGAAATAATGTTTTACAATTCCTTGCAAGCGTTGCAACTGACTGCTGAGACCAACCTAACTTGTTATATTTCAGCCAATCAATGATGCTGTGTCTCAAGCTGTGTTTCAAGTTTTATTGACCTTTTTCTCGGTACCAAGTTTTTTTGAGTAGCGGAAGCCATAAGAACATTGGAAAGCAGATCTTCAAAGCGGGCTGGGTAGACGTGCCTTTCTCCAAAATCATTGGCCATGTTGGGTTCAACATAAGAAGGTGATGTAAATCCCTGCAGAAATTGCATCAGATATCAGCGTGCTGGGTCAACTTCAATGGACTGTTCTTCTTTGGATTTTCCAATTTTAGCAACAACTCAGAAAAGAAATGAGTATACAATGCCATGGTGGAAAGGATAGCTTTAGGCTAGTGTCATGGTGAAAAAATCCAAATGAATAAATTGGTAAGGAGAAGGGTTAATAAATTTGTAAGCTGATGATCGATTGGGTATAACTATATGTTTATATCCGCGCTTAGCCAGTATAGGGCATTAGGACACGGTCACAGTTGCGATGAGCTCAGCTTGAGTTGTTTTATAAAATTTAAATCTCATAGTTCAAAATAAAAACTGGAGGATCATATATTCCGGGACACACTGTAGCCCAAAACCGATAGTGGCTCACTTTTGATAGGCCGTCCGACCTCCCAGTCCATATTGGAAACAAGACTCAATCAGTGAGAGGGAAAGCACAGCACTGAAATTCCATAATTTATGCGTCAATCTGCCAGACACGTGGGAACATCACCTTCCCGCGTAAACCATGCAGAGCCGCAAAGGTCAGAATGCATAGCGACGCTATTCAATGCAGTTAACGTCAACGACGATGAGGTTGATCGTGCGTCATCACGGCTGATGCAAGTAAACAACTTCTTTCCTAGACTTATGAAGTTATATCGCATACTAAAACTGCGCTCGCTACGTCGGCGTGATATCGCCATTCGATTACACTATCCAGTAACTCGCGGCCCGATACGCGGCTAGCGTGTTAGCAGGACGATCGCGAAAACTGATCCGGCTGGTGAACACGATGGCTCGCCGGGTGCATGGCATTAATGACATTGTATAGTGGTTCTCGGAAAAAAAAGAGATCCCTGATATCCTTCAGGTCCTCATACGTATGTCAAGCCCGGCTCATGGCCATGCGTTCCCCGATCAACATTTTTTGACGAACTCGCCGCCGAAAATGTCACTCATAGTGACAGCAGGCGGGAAAGATGCCCGTACACGCTTCAAAACTCGTACTTTGTGACAATTTGTAAAATACACGAACGGCAACGGTTTGCAGTTGGACAGGAGTCCTGGCTTGCGCACTGCAGCTTTCGATGACCGTCTTGACAACGCTGAGCAGTGTCATAATACGGTAGTATTCAGTGAGTACCGAATAGCATCTCTTTGTAATATGTATTGGTACAAAAGATGCTATTATGGACGTTAGAAGAGTAGAAGAGTTATCATAGTATACTAGACCTTGCGCATCGCAATATCTAACCGTCAAGATAAGATAACAGCAAATTATGTGTAATAGATAGCTTTGGCGTCAGAAGTCATAGCATGCTAGTGAACTAGCTGATTAGTGTTCTATTAGTAGACGAAGTTGATGTGTGATTGTGGGTGTTGTGCTGCGAGTAGCTGCGGGTAGCGCAGAATGCCAGGGTACTTTTTAAAGAGACATGAGTGTGTCAAAGAAGTGACGCTCAGTAGCTCAGACTAGTTGCGTGCTGCGTAAGGCGTGATGTATATTGTGGGATGTATGTTGTGATATTGTTAATGTCAAGAAGTCGACTAGACATCTTAACGAATGAATTAGGCTTGAAAAACGGGGTGTGTGAATACCAACACCGGGTTATATGCCTGAATTAAAATATAGAAAAATTAAAGTGATGCCGGCGCGGCAAAAGTGATGCGGGGCGGCGGAAATTGATAAACTAACCATCTTTTTTGATGGGGCTTAAGTATCATCATCGATTCCAGGGTTTTTTTTTGATTTTTAACTAGCTGAGAAGCAATTTATCAGGCTAAGATTTGACGATAGTTGTCTCCGTTAGTTAAATTATACATTAGAAAAACTTTGGTTGGGTGATGTGGTGATAGTGTCGATTGTTAAGGTAGACTGTTAGTTGGAGGACGAAGTGAATGAAGAGATTGCAGAGGACGAAGAGATGCCAGTTGTGAGGTGTTTCTGTTCAGATGCATTGATGTCTTGGCTCGGGTAAGAGGCGGTGTGCGGCATAGAGTAATCGGACATACGTTGAATAAGAATTGTTCAAATTATGTAATGGTGGGAGAATAAAAGACTGACAAAACCAGTGGCTTTTTCTGTGTGGGGGTGTAGGTGGTAGGTGTGTGTTGCTGCTGTGTGTATGCGGCTCGTTCGATGCTAGTCAGTCGTGTGGTATGTCAGTGTGTCTGAGTGGTTGTGGTCGGATTTCGCCAAGGACCATTGCTGTCTCGCTCGTGACACTAGTAACGCAAAGATATCGAAGGTCTGAATGGATATGGATACGGCTTACTATATACAGAGATTACAGCATTAAATGTCTTGTCTGCTATTCTTGGATACTTTGCGAAGTAGCAGCGATAGTGGGTGAAATACAAAATTCCTATCATAACTAATTTATGACGTTTCGTGCTAATAATGGCCTATTGCGAGAGATCAAATTGCTTACGTGACGAGTTAAATCATGCTAATTTGCCTGTTCTCAACGATAGGGCATCGCTCGCAGAATCGATGTACTCGCAATTCGCTCTTGCACCCGACAATGTGTAGATTGACTAGAGGTTCCTGTTAATATATGTTAGTTAGAGGCCAGTCTAGCTAACTCCTTCGCTCTCGGGGACTACGAATTGATGAGGTGCGCAGCACGAACTTACGAGCATAGTTTTTGGATGTAGCATTCTGTAATGAGTACTCATTTACGCCCTCTTTCGCTATCAATAAATCTCACACGTGTGTATGAGTATATAAAGGATACTTCTTACTCTATAGGATTTATATATATTCTGTATATTAGCAGACTCTACGGTGCCTTTCGCACATTGCCGTCTGGGAGTACCAGAGCTTTGTCAAACGTAGTGTCGTACGCTGGCCAAGGTACTCTTAGCGCAGGTGGATACGTTCTTACGGCTGTTCTATGGAATCTCTACATTGTACAGTGTGTTCTTATCATAGTGTCGGTACTTACTGTGTGCTCTCTCAGAGATGCATTTCCCGATAAAAAGGAAAAATTGTGTAGATATGCTGGGGTTAGCTATCTGCAATGCCTACTCTGGTTAGTTGAATACAACTTGGTTGAATAACTCTGGGCTCTGTATGCAGTAGTTTCATCTCGCTGGGCTAACTGATATTCTACAACGTCCGCTTCTTCGCTCGCTATACAAGCGCGTAGACTGTATTACATCAGCCACCTCGTACTAGTTCTCCCGACTGTTAGCCTGTAGTACGTGATATTACCCTGACTTGCTAAAATGTTAGAATGCGTTAATTATACCTCTGCAGAAAAAGCAGGGTTTGATGGCACTTTGAATTCTAAATTCTCGTGAACCAAAATTGTGGTAGATGATTAATTCTTACAGTCACGCGTTATTTAGAAAAAACCTAGGTTAAATCTGCGACGCGGTAGCACCAGATCCTTAGCATTATACTGTGGAGCTATATTATTAGGGTCGGTCAGTTGTTGCTACGTATGACAGATTCTTGTAGCGCGCGCTCAAACTACGAATGAGAACATTCTAGGAGTCCATCAGATTTTCGTGATTCACTCGCCGATAACGCATACCTTTATTGTCGAAGGAACATTAGTGCGGGGAACACAACCGTTAAAAAAAATCGCCGCAGCAAAATTGGATATCTCACTCGCCAAAATTTCATTGACGAATAAAATTTTAGAGGCTCCCCTGTGGTAGTCGTTGCGGAGAGCGCGATTACAAATCGCTGCGGGATCTTACGACGGCTCGCTGGGTCGCAGCGCGTTGGCTCTCGCTCCTCTCACGCGCCGCGGCGCCGTGCGCGCTCCGTTTCGCCAACCTTTCCCTTACTTCCCGTTCTATCACTCCTCTCCGTTCTCTCCCTCTCCCCAGCCTCCCTCCCTCTCCTCCCAGATCAGATTCCACCGGCAAACACCACTCTAACAAATGCGCTTGAAAGTGATGTCGCACTTCATTTAGGTACTCTGACGATAAAATAAATGACCATACGATTCGTAGATTTTTGACACTAAAATACCAACGTTATGTGGACCACTAATTACTTGCACCATCAGCACAGGATTCACAATTATGCAAAACCATCTGTTTCGGCCATCATCTCAATAAAAGTCTTCAAATCGGTACTCTAGGCCTATTAACATGGGTTTATGAATACACCGATTCTTGACGAAAACATGATTCAGATCTCTAGGGACGGCTCCAACCGGGACCGTACTTTAGAAGGAATAGCCGTAGCACGATAAAACTGACTAAAAGAAATTTCATTTACTCCTCCAAGTGGATCAAATCGCATTTCGCGTAGAGATGAACAGTAATCCTGGGCACATCTTACTGTTCGTCAGCCTTTTGAATCGACGCCTTGTTTCCAATCTGCTGAGTTTGGGTGACGAGTTGTCCACCACTCTGTTCGGTATCTGTATGCACGGGTATGGGTCTTACATTGTTGGCGCCATGATTCTCAGCCTCACAACAGGATCGATTAGAGGGAACGACAGTAGGTTATCATTCCTCTATCTTGAGGGCTCTTTGTATGCAATATGGAGGCCTCCTCTACTTAGACAACTCGGCTCAGTAGTCTTCGTTCCATATCACGCGAGTCCGTCTCGGCCGGACGTCAGGTACATTGGCCAGTTCGTCACAGCTTCAGTTCGCATAGGCTTTGCTGCATCGTTAGTGTTGCACCTTTGATCGAGGATTCTGTTTTCTGTGCTGCACCGGTACTAGGGGAGATCGTCAGCATCCAGCGAGACTACAAGCACCGAGTTGGACGCATGGAACATGGCACTCTCTATAGCGGGGTGTGCTTTTGTCTGTAGCTTACCACGTCTTCGTCGCAAACGCGACGCGATATTAATGCCAGCTATTTAAGGCCGACTTGTCTAGTTCAGGCCAAGTATTAATGAAAGTCCGTTCTCTAGCTACACCAATCTCGATCACGTAATCGTTGGGGTGGACGGGATTTCTCGCGTGCCACACTGATAACACTCGTGGACGACAACTCCCCTGGCACTCAGTAACCGAAGGTTATCGACTCTTCCCTTCAAGCGCATCACACCTATCAAACCTTGGCCATACTCTCGTTGCCAATGTTCGTGCACCATGCTTGCAGATTATTCACATGCCCATGCGGTGGCTCCTAACTTCTTTTCTATCCTTGCGTGTTGAGTCTTTCTAGAATGGAACTAACACGGATGGGTGATTGACGCCTTCATTTTTGATCTGCCCGTTTCATAAATTCGCAGCGAGTAGATGTGAAGGAGCCACTTGTTTGACAGGCACTGTACATCGCTGCCTTCTCCTGGCGACGGTCACGATTCGTTGGATGTAGTCACAAGAGGTGCAGGAGAGGTGCCACGCTGTTGCAGTACTTTTGGGAAGGGATGCCATGATACAACTCCCTTCTAAATAAGAAACAAGGTCTCCATCTTGTCTCGTCACTTTATTAGAGAGAATCGGCTGTGAAGGACATACTAAACAAGTAATTGCACAGATTGCAACGCGTCGTTCGGGCGTGCTTACAATCCTCTCTGGTTCCAGTTCCGATCGCGCATGCGCGCTGGTACAAGGGACCATCTATTATGCAGGAGCGCCGTATAGTACAATGTTCTCTACCATCCATCTTTCCCCATGTGCTTCCTCCAGTTTCCGCTGCATCTGCGAGGTACTGTTCCCCTTGCTGCGATGTCGCAACATTAGTATCACCTTCCGATCAGCAGCAAGCCTCTGGGTCAACATGCAGGGAAACGCGCGTTGATGTGCCACATCCATTTGACAAACTATGGAATATGACCACGCCAGCACCTTTCGAAGACATTTATCACATGCAAGATATTCCGTCGTGAGATAATAATGTCTGTCTACGTCCAGAACTTTGCGAATGTGTTTATACATCTCACTGTAATGCATCTGCCCTGTACAACCATGCGAGCATTTTAACTTGTACTGCTAGAATTTCACTGGGCAACACAGACAGATGTCGTGTTCAAAGAATTTCTCAGCATTCGGTGCTGTGTCCTGTTGTTTCACTTCCGGCTTTCGGATCCACATCGTAGAGACCTTTGACCAGTCACAGTAGGCCTGGTTTTTTTTCCTTGTGAAGAAGGCCTTAGAAACCCACTCGTGGTACTCAGGAGGTAACGATTTCCTCCACTCCGCAGGCAGAGGCACAGTTTTTGTTTGGTCTGAGTTACGGACAGTAACATGTCCAGGCTTTGGTGCTGGTATTGAATGTCGTGTAGCACGATTGGATACCAACGGTTGAGGTTGAGCTAAAATATAAAGATATAAAGATATTTTACTTCAATAACCTCATCTATATTAGGTACACAAGGGTCTCTTTATTGATAACTGGGTTCAACTGACGGAGTTATACTTTACCAAGATTGATTAATATTGGATTTAATATTAGACTGCAGATAATTAATAAGATATACAACATGAAGCGAAGAATGCACATAATACAGTAGGATTATACTAATTTAAATGAGAATAATATATATACGCTATCATAACCTATGTAAATAGTGAAAGACACCTATATGAAAAGCTAGCACCAGGCAAATAAAAATAATTATGCTCCCAATCATATATGGCAAGACAGCATTTTAGGGGATTCATGTTGTTTTCATACAACTATCCAGATGGTTAGTTAAAGGATTAGGCTATAAATTCAAATCAAAGTTATTGACCAGGTTCCCAAAACCCAAGATTACCATGTGCATTGGAATTTATTGAGCTAGTAAATAAAGAATTATAATAAATAGCAGGACTACATGCCAAGCACAATTACTCCATTGATGATTAACTATAAGTGCAATGATAAGAACCAGACTTCTAATGCTATATAGGTAACACGGAATAACAGGGCTGCCCCATGTAACTACCCGTACCACACATTTCACATCACATCAACCACTGATTTATACTTACATAAAAATTACTGTAACGAAAAAGTGACAATTTGTTATTATGAGATCATCTGACTTTAGATCTTTTATATGAATCCAAGATTTTTAAGCATAAATAACGGGTAGTTGCAAAATATTGTACATTCACTTACGAGGTTTTTCATGTAGCGGACTCCCAGAACCGGCGGCAGCAGGAGGCTCGGGTATCGTCAACATTGATGGCTCAGCTGTTCGGTTCGCGAGATCAGTCACAGTCACGGCTTCAACACGCAGAGCTAAAATAGAACGATTACCTGGTGCGGGAGGGATTACACAACAGATGTACGTCCAGGTTAATGTATCGTGGTTTATTTATAAACTACTATTCAATTCTGAAAAATAACTATAATGATTTTCAGTTCTTTGCTGACTCTAAATAGTACAATGATTCGAATAATTACAGTTTAAATTCACAGCTAGCATACAAATGACATCGTACAGTTAAATTCACATGTTAAATTTTACCATAGAAAATTCGTGACGTAATCACTTTAAGTAGACATGTTAGTATTATTATTACGAATGCCCTTATTTCTGTGATTCATGCCATTCTGGCCCCGAAAGGTGCTGCGGCATTAGAGTAAATCTGACATACGTGAATAAAATTGTCAAAATTAGCGTCTGTGAATAAAAACTACAAACCAGAGCATGCTTGACCCCCACACATTGGATTCACTTGTCAGTGTTGCCCAAGGACATTCAGTCCATTAACAAAGTCCAAAGTTAATGAATATACCCAAATCAGAATTCAGAATCATGCCTTTGAATTTTGGATCTTAGATTAACAACGTAGGTGAAAAAAATTCCATCAAAATATGACGTACGTGAAAATAGAATTCCATCAAATTTTACGTACGTGAAATCATGCATGCATTCACATAGGCACGTGACAGATCATGCCTAGAATTCTCTGCCCCGACATGGGTATGCGAGCCCTGTTATATATTCGTAGACGGGTCTGCCACCTCCTTTGTCTCGGCGACCCGGAGGGTGGCAAACACGCTAGGTGATTGGGCTCAGAAAAGTCTTTTCGATACAACTAATTCCACTGTGTTATTAGAACTTCTAACTTGGTTATGCAGCCAGCCCTTTGCGACATTGCGTCTGGTGTCGTACCGCTGGCCAAGGTACTCTAGCGCCTATTTCTACGTATAACTACTCCTACAGCTGTGTTCTAATCAGCTTACAATGGGGTAGCGTTCCCGGCGCAATATTGCTTGCTACAACTGTATGACATTGGCTCTGTCTGCATTCACAGCGTCCCTCTCCCGATCAGCATTCCACCGGCAAATCCCATCTAACAACATGGCTTGAAAGTGAGTCGCATTCATTGTCGTACCTGAGATAAAATAAATGAGATACATTCTTAGATGCACTAAAATACAACTTATGTGGACCAATACATATGCAATCAGAGGATTAAAATATGCCAAAACCACGATTTCGGCATTCAAAACTTGGTAACTCTAGGCTATACGGTTATGATAACTTCTTGAGAAAACTGATTCCGTCTAGGGACGACGACGGACGACTTTAGAATGCAATAGCCTATCACGAAAAATGACTAAAAGAAATTCATTTACTCACCAGGGATAAACGCATTTGGTAGAGATGAAAGGACTCGGGCACATCTGTACTGTGTCAGTTTAACGACGCCCTTGTCCACTACTGCGAGTTTGGTGTACAGTTGCACATTGTCGGTATCCTGTATGCACGGTATGTGTCTACATTGTTGTCGCCATATTTCATCCATCACAACAGGATCGATTAGGGGAACACCAGTGGTATCATTCCTATTTGAGGCCTTGTATGCACAGATGAGGTCTACTAGCAACTCCGTCGTCTGTTCAACACCGCGAGTCTTCCGGCGACAGTACATGGCCAGTTCGTCAAGCTTCAGATTCGCAAGGGCTTGTGCATCTTTGTGATGTGATGAGGATTCCTGTTTTCTTGCCTGCACGAGACTGGGGAGATCCCCAGCATCCCACTCGAAGATACAAGCACCGAGTTGACGCATGAACATGGCATATAGCGGGTGTGTTTTTGTAGTACACCCTCTCGCAAAGCGACGCATAAAATGCCAGATATCAAGGCGCACTTGTAGTTCAGGCCAGTATTCATGAAAGTCGTTCTCAGTACAACAATCTCGATCAACGTACATCAGTTGAGGTGGAGGTTCTGCTGCCACACTGTAACGTGACGAACTCCCCTGGCACAGTAACCGAAGGTTTCGACCTTCTCCTACAGCCATCACACTAATCAAAACCTGGCCATACTCGTTGCCAATGTTCGTGCACCATGCTGCAGCATTCTTCACATGCCCGGCCAACTTCTTTGCTACCTTGCGTGTTGAGTCCGACTTTAGAATGGAACCTAACACGGAGGTGATCGACGCCTTCATTTTATCTGCCCGTTTCATAACATCGAGCGAGTAGATGTGAAGGAGCCACTTGTTTGACGGCACCTTCAACATCGCTGGGCAGCGGTCACGATTCACTTGGATGTATGTCACAAGACCTCTGTCAGAGGCTGCACGCTGTTGCAGTACTTTTGGCAGATGCATGATACAAACTCCCCTTCTAAATAAGAACAGAGTTCCATTTGTTCGATCACTTTATTAGAGAGAATCGGCGTGAAATGACAATAACTAAACAAGTATTGCACAGATTGAAACGCGGGCGTGCTTACAATCCTCTCTGGTTCCAGTTCCGATCGCGCATGCGCGCTGGTACAAGGGACCATCTATTATGCAGGAGCGCCGTATAGTACAATGTTCTCTACCATCCATCTTTCCCCATGTGCTTCCTCCAGTTTCCGCTGCATCTGCGAGGTACTGTTCCCCTTGCTGCGATGTCGCAACATTAGTATCACCTTCCGATCAGCAGCAAGCCTCTGGGTCAACATGCAGGGAAACGCGCGTTGATGTGCCACATCCATTTGACAAACTATGGAATATGACCACGCCAGCACCTTTCGAAGACATTTATCACATGCAAGATATTCCGTCGTGAGATAATAATGTCTGTCTACGTCCAGAACTTTGCGAATGTGTTTATACATCTCACTGTAATGCATCTGCCCTGTACAACCATGCGAGCATTTTAACTTGTACTGCTAGAATTTCACTGGGCAACACAGACAGATGTCGTGTTCAAAGAATTTCTCAGCATTCGGTGCTGTGTCCTGTTGTTTCACTTCCGGCTTTCGGATCCACATCGTAGAGACCTTTGACCAGTCACAGTAGGCCTGGTTTTTTTTCCTTGTGAAGAAGGCCTTAGAAACCCACTCGTGGTACTCAGGAGGTAACGATTTCCTCCACTCCGCAGGCAGAGGCACAGTTTTTGTTTGGTCTGAGTTACGGACAGTAACATGTCCAGGCTTTGGTGCTGGTATTGAATGTCGTGTAGCACGATTGGATACCAACGGTTGAGGTTGAGCTAAAATATAAAGATATAAAGATATTTTACTTCAATAACCTCATCTATATTAGGTACACAAGGGTCTCTTTATTGATAACTGGGTTCAACTGACGGAGTTATACTTTACCAAGATTGATTAATATTGGATTTAATATTAGATATAGAGAAGCTCGTGAGCTCGTGTGATAGCAGCTTGATCGTATGGGTTGACCAGGTTCGTGGACAGCAGATACGTGTCATATAGCACTTAAAGGCCACAAACAGTTATAATATTAATGCTGATAACCACTGAATTTACTAACGTAACTCTATTCTTTAATACACAGCATTCAAACATAATGAACAATACAGTACATATCTATACTACACCGCACATACAGTAAGAGGATGGCTACGCAAGCCACAATCAATGAGCGCGTTATACAAGTGTTTTCAATTCATAAAACAAACTCTAGCAAGCGGCTCCTCTTGTCGTTGACCGGCAACGTAGCAGAGAGTCGCAGTGTAGTCTGTCGTCACGGCAGCGCAACGGTAGCGTGGTGACGAGCACAGGTGAGAGGCAAGTGGATGGCGGACAGAGCTCGTGACTTCGAGCACCCGTAAGAACTGTGTCTGCTTCGTTGTCGAAACGTTCGTTATTTTATACAAGTGGACGAGAGATGCAATGGCCTCGAGCGTGGTCAAGCCTTGTTGCGCGGATGGTGCAATTCTGTTCCTTCTCTCCTCGATTTTTTATAGACTAACGAAGGTAGGATTCTTTCTTCTACGTGAGAACGCGCGGTCGGAGTCTTTGTATGATAGGTGAGTCGTCCGATGGCAAAGTTCTTCCTCGGAAGCCCTCGTCGAGCAGCCATTTCTATTGACACAAAGTGTCGTCGGTATTGCTTACTGTGCCCATGACCGCTGCGTCACGTGCACGGCACGTGGTGTCGGCTCCCCATCTAAAGGGTCCATCGCACAGATTTAGCCGTGGTTGGGTCGTAACTCGTTCGACACTCGGCGCGGAAATCCCTGCTTGTTGTCGCAATGAATTTCGTTTTCTTCTGTCAATAGCACGGCGTGTACGGCACCAGTGCTATTGCCCCTGCGCAAAATTGTTGTCGTACGCATACACCTTTGAGGCCCCGTGGAAGGTGTTATCTCGACTCCTGTTGTAATCAGTGGTAAATTTAATTGCTTGTTGATGACGTGTCGGCACAGCTTCATAAACCAGTGGCGTGCGCCCTCTCAGCCTTGTAGAAGGTGATAACTCTGCCAATGTTATTGTGTAACATTTCTCCCATCTTGTCTTGCTGCGGCGTGTGCGGCCTATGATGCCTCGCAAAGCTTCGTATCAGTCGTTCGCATGCTGGTTGTACGTAGTTTCTTTCCCGAGGTCGTTGGTGACAACACATTCCTCGGGACGACTTTCGCTGGTGTTACCTTGGGCTATTTGACTAAATTAACTACGACGCTATGCTACCGTTAAGCGGGCGCGTGACGCTCGCTGCTCACGTTATTCTGTAACTAAAAATAACTATGACGTGATGTTGCTAAGTTTGAAACGACCCGTGTCGCTAGGTTTTATATTAGGTTAATTAATTCGATATTCGCGTCACTACACTACCCTCGCACTTTCAATAGTTGCGAAACATAATCTTGAGAGAGCAAACGTATCGAAACATACATAAAATAGATGTATCCTCCCGCCTGCGCATTGAAAAATTATTATGTTACACACACAAAAAAAAACAACCTAAGGTTAGCACAATACTGTTATGCGATGGAAGGATGGAGTGATGTTAAATGAAAGGGTTTTGGGAGCGCGAGCCGGGGGCGCAAAAAAAACAAAATAAATAAAAAACTGGACTCCTGTTTTGTTTGTCATCGTCGGTATTTTTATTCGTATTCATCATATTTTTGTTCCTTATTTTTTTATTTTCTAACGATATTGTTATCCACAACTGTCCATCCGGGATGGATTTTCTCGACCACTCCAGTTGCTGCTTAGTAGTCTTCCCAATCCTCACATAGGGAGTCGTCGTCGGCGATGTAAAAATGTTTGGGGTGGCGGAGTGGAGGGCCGCCCGCCAGCGCCATGGCCCCATTTCCGGGAGCTCTGGCTGTGCTCTGGCTCCTGGCTCCGATTAAGCCATGACGCTTCAAATAAATGGTTCGTCGACCTCGGCTGAGGTCGGGGAACTTGGGCGTGTCCATCGTCAGTGGGTTGTTGAATCCGCTTCTGCGACTGGGATAGATCGCCACTGGTGATATGCCATGAAAGGGAAAGAAAAGGTGAGTACGGACAGCATATATATATAAAAAAACGACGGGACGGGGCTAACAGTACGGCATATTAATAGTGAGTTGCAAACGATCACTATAAATTCGCGAACGCTGAAAGAACAAAGTGACATAAATATACGCGTTACATGGGGTAAATAATAGTGTACACACTGTGAAACAAGTAGGTATCGCGTTACAAATAGTATCAATCGTAATAAATGTCATAAACGATACCGCTCATAGTTACGTTATACATATGAGTAAATAGAATCGCGATTTTAATCAACGCTATCTAGTAGATTACATAATGCTCTATAATGCATCAATACTACTTAGATGACGTATGTCTTGGCAGTGTGTCCATTTCAACTGCGTCATCGTCAGATCGTATAATCCCGCTGTAAGGGGGTGGATAAGTGGATGTGGGGTTACAGCCGGAGTACAATGTCGTCACATGCAGGGGGTGTGGACTGAGGAACGGCTGAATAACAGGGTCGAGTAGAAATGGGTCGCGTTTGGAGCATTGCGGGTCGGTTCAAAGAATGGATGGATAATGGGCCTAGCGCGTCTGAAAAGTGCTCGCCTATTACAGAGTTTAGGAAGGCAATTTGGGGGAGCAAAACAGTAGTACAGAATGGCAAGTATGGCCATGACAACTACTGCATAAATAAGTGCCTGATGCCACTGAATGGCGACCTTTGAATTTCTGCTGCGCAGCTTCGTTGCTATCCGAGAATCTGCCTACTATTTTCGATGGAGTGTTTTAAGTGATCATAGGCTATATCGAGGTCGTGGGTTTCATAGAGCTTATGGGGTAGAATTGAATTAGGAATCAAGTCCGTGGCGTTACCACGCGTTACAGCTAATTGTGCCAAATCCGCCCAAATAGTGGGTGTTTTCTAATGTCGTAGGTAAAGTTGGGTGATTGAATCCGTTAAATCCTGCAGTTGGCACTTCGTGATAATAGAAAGTGGGCAGAGTGAAGTCAGCTGAATGAGCTGTGCAACCTGATTGCAATGAGACAATTTGACGGTTAATTATCTGTAAATCAGTAATAACGGGTGGGTGGTTACTAGTGGGCTGGCAAGAGATTGTTAAACGAAGATTTTTAATTGGTGAAATTAACCAATGACCATTTCCGATATACGCAAGTAGATGTTTCGGCTTTGATTGAACGTTAACTCTACGCTGACAAAATTGGTGGGTGTTATGGGGGTGTTTAAAGTATAAGGCTACCGCACACTCTGTTGATCCAGAAACATAGTATATTTCAGATGCAGTTTGACAAATACCATTAGTGTCTTTGAGATGAACTAATTCGGGCTTAGGATAGAAATAACGGGTTTTATCCTGAGAAAAGGCTATATATTTGCTTTTGACGGCATAATAAACATTAGCTGAGGTACCATTAATAAATACGGGTGCTGGGAGAATTTGGAAAATGTTAAAGATTTGGCCAACATGCTTTAAAGGTAAAAATGTAATAATATGGAACGAGTCCTGAACGGGCACAACGACTGTTTGCAAAAGGTTATAATAGTACAAAATGCCGTTATCTATGTCTTTTGGTAACGCCAAATAATTTGGGATGACTTGCTTAATACTTAACAAAACTTGTTGTAATCTAGTAGGTGAAACCAACGAAATAGGTAATTTGCCAATCAAACAACTACTAAGAGAGTGCTCTACATCAGCAACTATGGCTGTGATATCTTGTAATGTTAGTGTCATTATATCGATCGTAGTTTGCAACTGTGTAAGTGCTGCAAATCTTTTATCTACTGTATCGGCCAATGTTAAAACGCGATCGTTAATACGGTTAATAAACTGGCGCATAAGATCAACTCCATCAATTAGTTCATTTAAGGTATCACGATTT